ATGTGGGAGCAAACAGGTTGAAGGTACAAAGACCTGTCCCACCACCGGAGGAAACAAAAATGACGTCATCCATGGTTCGTGTCCTTGTCGACCATGTAAACCTGCCGCTGCGGTCAAGTGTTTTTGTACCTGCCGGAACCAATAAAGCGCCTGCATCGAAGTTCTGCTTGAGGGCAGCGTTCAGTTGCTTCTAGAAGGAGTAATCGTAGTCGCAAGGGATGCAACAGATCTTCAAGACGGACGCGCCACAATCCTGGTTAAAAACTTCTGACAGCCCCTTACTAAAGGTACCGCCGTGGGCCACATGGAGGAACTTCAGGAATCAGCCGCTATCACTCCTTTTTCAGAAGAATCGTCGCCACCCCCAGAACTAGACATCGATCCGAAGCTTCCTGCTACAGAACGACGACGCTATTTGACCTCCTCAGCGAGTTCACTGAGTGTCTTTCCACCTTCTCAAGGGTGCGACAAACGACGGTAGCGAAGCACCGCATTGTTACCGGCGACGACGCGCTCCCTGGCACCAGTCGCTGTATCGAGCATCTTTAAAAAAAAGGAACGTTACCTAAGAACAATTACAATGAATTCTCAATGACGACATCATCCAGTCTTCAAGTAGTTGATGGGCGTCACCCGTCCTCTTGGTAAAGAAGGATGGTACTCTGAGGTTCTGCGTAGACTATCGTTGACTAAACACCATAACGAAGAAGGACGTCTACCCGCTGCCCCGAGTCGACGACAACCTGGACCGGCTGCGCCACACCCGATATTTTTCGTCGATGGATCTGAAGACCGGCTATCGGCAGATTGAAGTCGACAAGCGAGACCGTCGAGACCGTGAGAAGACGGCCTTCGTCACGCCCGACAGATTGTATGAGCATAGAGTGATGCCTTTTAAACTCTGTACGGTACCCGCCACCTTTCAACGTTTCATAGACACCGTGCTAGCAGGACTGGAATGGCAGAGCTGTCTTGTCTACCTAGACGACGTCGCTTTGCCTTCGAGCAGTACTACAAGCGATCAGGATCGCTGGACTCACCCTCAAGCCGACGAAATGCCGTTTCGCCTACGACGAGCTGAAATTCTTAGGCCACGTCGTGAACAACGAGAAGAAACGCGCGCTAGCCGCATTTTTACCGCCGTCAGAAAAGAAGGGCGTTGGAAGATTCCTGGGTCTTTGTGCCTACTATAGGCGCTTCGTTCAAGATTTCACCAAGCTTTGTGCGCCGTAACGTGTCGACGCCGGTCCCTACAGCCTTCGTCGTTGGGACGTTCACTTCCAGCCCGGAGACTGGGTCTGGGTGTGGACACCGATACGACGTCTTGGCCTCAGCGAAAAGTTTTTAAAGTGCTCCTTGAGACCATACAAGATATTTCGACGCCTGGGATATCTCAACTACGAGGTGGTGCTTTTCACGAAACGCACATATGATCGCGACGCCGACTGCGACCCGAGGTAGTTGACAATGTTCAACTCAAGCGATTCTACGGTCGATAGGACTGTGGACTTTATGTGTTCCAATTGATTCTTTAGTTTACTGTTTTTGTTTTGTTTTTATTTTGTTTTCCTTTGTGTTGCACCCGGGCGATGCACTTTTAAAAAGGGGGGAAGTAACGCCGCGCGAGCAGCTAGCCAAGTTGGCACTAGGCAGCGCGCCAGTAGCTCATTGGTTATCGTGATTGGCGCCCAGGTTCAAGGTACGATGTCTGGGAGCGGCCGCACCTATTGTTATTTATATAAATGTAGCGTTCTGGTGCATTCAAAATTACTGTTGCTTACGCGCCGAACCTTCCACGCCGATAGTTCGAGAAGTTCACGCGTGTACAAAAGGGGCTCCGCGTGACGAGCCGGGAGCCGGAGTCTTGTAGTCTCACTCCAGCGCTAGATCCTGCTGTTTCACCGACATCGATGCCTGCGACGCTAACCTTCCTCTATTTTGTTTTAGGCACAAGTTCGCCCCATTAAACGTTTAGTTTCTCCAGCTATTCGCCGCCTCATCACTTGTCATTCTTCACAATATTGCACATTTGACCTTGACCTATGTATTGATCGAGCGTAACGCTTGAGGATAACGGTCGAGCGTGGCGGTGGAACCAAAGGCATGTTTCATAGAAATCGACTAATAAAGCACCGTCTGTGCTAAAAACATTTCATAAATACTTTGTTTCGTTTGCTGGTTCTAAATTAAGCTCGTTGCATGAAAAGGACCGATGTACCAGATGTATACTCTGGGTGGTGAAGCACTATTTCCTACAGCAATTCGAGGCCGACAGGGTGGCAGAAATTTAATTCCTCGCCTCGAAATTCATGCCAAAAAGGGGCGAATTCCTCTCCCACCATTGCCAACTCAAGCAAGTTGCTACGCCAAAAATGCAGGAAAACAAAGCCCCTTCGATCGCAGCGCCATCATGCCAAATTTCCACATCCTGAGCTTCAACTTAAAGCATGAGCGAAGCCTGTGGCTCGCTCCATTCAATCATTTCTAGCCCACTGTAACAGAATAAATGACTGCGTGTTGCTGAACCAGTGCGTTGTGACATTCTCCGAGACAAGTTAAGCAAGGGAATTCCCACGACCTCTATGGTTGAATCCTTATTTTTATCTATAGGTATTGAGGGAATAAAAACCCAGGGGTATGCCTCGCCCACGGGGGTAACGTCTGGTCGCCTTTCGAGATAACAGTGGGTCGTCTGCTACTCGACATGGCTGCATCGGCAACATTGGTTTCAGACGCGAGCAGAAGGTGCAAAGCTCGCTGCTGATCAAGCGGAACTTCATCGTCACGAGGCGATGCACAACTATTAACAAAAGAAACGGAAGATCTTCTGCCTCGTGTTATTGAGGGTGACGTGAAATCACTCGCAAGAACAAAACTTGACAATGACTCCAAGTTTCATCAATTATTAAATGTGGATTCGAAGAGGCCATGGTTTTATTTATTAAGGCAGCAGACAAGCAGACCGAGTCCGACGAGGGAGCGGGCGGTGGTGTTACTCGATCATCACACGCAGCGTAGCGCGGCGTGCAAGGCCCTTTTACGTTGCCCCACCAAAACCACCGCGAAAACACGCTCATGCCGTTATGATTTAAGACTCAACACGAGTCTTGGTTGAGCAGCAAACTCACGATGCATAGACATCGGCGCTGACGAAGCGTGTCCATTGGCATCTTGGCGTTAACCAAACGGCCCGATGAAGCGGGCATACTGATCAATCTGACGGCGACACGACGGTGGGACTCTCACGTCGTCCCGCAGAAACAATCACAGGCAAAAGCTGATACCGGCACAGCATTGCGACATAAACCCGGGTAGGTATAGAGCTAAAGAATCCCTGGGAAAGCTCGGCGTCGTCGGCCTCGTCGGCGCGTCGCCATCCGGGCTTGCTGTTATCTCGAAAAATGATAGTTCGTCAGGCCCTGACGTCAGGGGAATCAGGGTAAGCGATTGGCTGTTTGAGCGATATGAAGCCCTTTTACGGGCATATTCCGCTAGGTCCTTAACCTGTCGCTTACACTAGTTCATTCTCAAATTTCATTTGAAAACGAACTAGAAAGGAAAGGCATCTCTAGCGTATTCCCGGTATTTGCAAAGTTCATCTCCACACTCCCATACCACGATTACAAACTTCGACCACTTTGAGATGCCTTTTCTGCAGAGAAATTCGCTCAGAATTAGGCTTTCAGAATTCTGGTTCAGTGCAGTATCCCCAAGAAAGGACCCTCACAACTTCATTACAAAATATAACAAACTAAATGCCGGGTGCGCGGCGGGTTTTTGGCCATCGGTGATGACCATCCTTAGGGCTTCATTGCCACATTTTTAGTCTAAGATTGAATGTTCGTCCTAAGAGCCTAGCTGTGCTGAAGTACGAGGAGATCATTCTTCTAGAAACCAGCTATAGTATACCAAAGTAAGTTTATCTGTCAGGTCTAGGTTTCTATAGCACATGCAAAGCAGACACTAGTGACCGCATTAAGTCTAGTCTAATCCCCAGGTTGTTCTTCCACTCAGCGCATAGGTGTTGTGGAAATTCTTTATGTTCATATATGCGCTAAAAGTGATAAATTATTAACTATAGAAAACACTGAAAGGTGGCTACTACTTCAGGAAAACAAGGCATTCAGAGTAACGAGACAGTAACTCGCTTCTTTTGAGCTGCAGTTACACGTTCCTTTTGAATCCTTGAATCTCAGCAACTGGTCACGAATACTTAGTTGCCTTTTGAGCGAATTAGTCAGTGAAGTGTACATGTCTGATTAGGAGCACCAACTTGGAAACTCGGCGAAAATATCGGCGATATCGCCGACCTTCGCGGTTGGCCAGTGCCGAGCTAGACCTTTGCGCTGGCCAATCGCGGCGGTCGGCGGTCTCGCCGACGTTCTTTTCTAGTGTCCAGCTTAGAGCTTCAGTACTGTTAACAACAGAACAGGATGGCATTCAAAACATGGTTTGTGGACAACCGCTGAGATGCTACGCCTTTAAAATTATCAAGCGGTTGGAATACACCGGGCGAAAGGCTGTAATTGACTCTTCAACAGTCTGAGAGACGGCGATGCCTACAGAAAAAGAGGAGGAATTCTCAATGAAACCCCCAGAAAAGATGGGAGTACTTTTAACTTCATCATGCTGCGGTTGCAAGTAAACTTCCACATATTTAACCACAAGGGCTAAATCAAGATACATGTATGTGCGAACTTTTAGTATGAAAACTAAAAAAATAGATACATATCTGATTCATTCAAATGTTTAAAAATTCAGGCATTCCCCTGCTCAATAAAAACACAAACTTTTCATGTACTTCAGTCTTGATTGTGCACGGTGTGCAAAACACTGAATATTCTGAACATAAAAAAGTGCATTCAATCAACCATGAATATATACACAAACGGCAGCGTGTCGGGATAAATAAAGCGTATTATTGATTAATAGCTTGCCCCCCCGTTGCTCAGGAAATCAAAGCAATAATTAATAATGATTAATTGTAAGTGTGTACTTGCTTGTAATGATGTTCGTTGCATTTGTCAGGTTTGAGCCACGAAGCGTACTGTCTGGAAGAAAATACAGAATGTAAGTTGTTTTACCGCCGTGCAGTAATTTTGAGTAGATACGGAAAAGTACTTAAAGGCAAGCAGAATGCGTATGTACTAAACGGTTCATGGTTTGAACCTTACTGATTCGCTAAATAATGCATATAATAACACTTCAGAATGAACGAAACGAAAACAAGATAGAGGGGAATTATATTTCAAAACAAAGGGCGAACTAAAAAAAAATGAGAGAAAATAAAAGACGCGTAAAAAGTTTTTTTTTTCTCTAGAGCTCCAGAGTGGCATTTGAAGATGCGTTAGAGCACATGGACTTAAAGAGGCTCTAAAAAACAAATACTCCTGTTTCACAAACAAAAAAAAAACGAATAAAAAAAACTTCTCGACGAACTCTTTTAATAAGTCAGGAAGTGAGCTCGCGATCGCGACTACGAGCGTGCCCCTTGGCGTGCACTGGTTCGCCCGGGGTATACTATAGACCTTTCCAGAAAAGGGCTGCTGGCCGGTTTCATTTTCAGTGTTCGTGCGTATCGCGCGTGATTTGCTCGCTTTCCGAAGCGACGCACACGCGCGTGCTGAGCTGTGGAGATCGCACGCTGAGCTGTGGATTTGTAAACATTGGAAAGGTCTATAGATTTAACGAAATAATTAGCGGGTCCCGGTAACTTCGTTAAATCGAAATCCAACTGTGCTTGTTTCCAAAATCATTTCAAGGGCCTACAGACAGGCCTTTACAGGTTTGGCAAATAAGCTCGCCATCCTGACATTGCGCGTGCTCTCGGCATGCGCATGTTCGTTTATTCTTAAAGACCTCCGGTGCGCATGCCTTACCCGTGACATTGAGGTACGAAACGACCATTTTAGAGGCACTTAAAAGGGCCCTGCAATCGTATTTAAGCGTCTACCTTTTTTGCGGTTTCCACGTCTCTTGAAGTACGGGCAAGCCAGCGGGCACGGAGAGAGTAACTAAATATCAGTGCGTCATATTTGCACCGGACGAGGCGGAAACCTTCTCCGCCTACGAGGGCGACCCGCGTTGCCGAAAGCGCGCGATATGTGACGTCTTTGGTCCTGGGCTTACTACTGGTCATAACCGCTAAAATCTTTTTTTTTTTTTTAGTCGAGATACAAATTATAAGTGCCGCGAACCGTTTCAAATATGTATGAAAGTAGTTTTTGTTCAGTATTTTAGACCAGAAAAGAAACAAATGCAGTTTATAAAGTACGGAAACAAGAAACGAACCGTCGACATACCTGCCATTAAGCGGCGGAAAAAACAGCGCATACTAGAAGGGGCTAGTGGGATGAGGCGCCAACGAACGGCGGGCGTAGAAAGTTCTCTGATGTACGCGGCGGCGCTGCGGTCGTACACCGGCTCAAGAATCCGACCGGTTCCGTGCGTTCCGAAGGCTTTTGGCGCGGGCTTGGCTGGCGATTTTGCCATTTGGTGGTTTGGCAGCGCAAAGTGACTCCCGTTCTGAACTGATAGTGTTTGCTGTCGTTTGTGGCCAATGAAGTGTTATGCCGAATTAGTTTTTAATCGTGCAGCAAATGCAATACGAGCCGCCCTGGCCGCCTCCTTCATACAGCTTATCCAACACGTGCTTTAGTGGCGCCCTCTCGAGCCGTCGACACGGAGTGCGGCAGCCGTGAGCGCTCGATGAGCTCACTACCCCTCCTCTAGTTCACGGCTACTCAAGCCAGGACCTACCACGTCATGAAGGAGGTTATATTTTGCTTGTTTTTGTAATTCTAATTTGCCTATAACTTTTTAAAATATAGCGAAATTTGAGAAAAGAAAAGTTTCATTAAGTTACTACGTTCAGTGCGCTCAGGATCGGTGCAAATTAAAAACCAGTCAAAAAGTTGTTGCAGGACCCCTTTAAAAGGCCTTCAGACCAAACTTCTTAAAAGAATTGGTGAATCAGCACGCCATCTCGACCCTCCCACGTGCCCATCCGTGTTCATCGGTGTGTTCTGGTCACGGTGGAAGAAACATTTTGGTGATTACTCTGTCCGACGCGGCGGCCACATTATGTTCGGCGCACCGAGTGCGCTTCACTCGCACGGGGATAGATGGCTTCCAAGTATCGGGTCCCTCCCAAACCGACCGCTCCGGTTGTTTCTCCCAGCAGTGGTGCCGCCATTTCCGCGCTCACCGCTTCTTGTTGTACCTCACCGCCGCCACGCCGCCACCAAGTAGTCAGAGTCCGTAAATCTGTGTTCTCTCTCTTCCTCTTCTTCTTCCTCCTCTTCTTCTTCTTCTTCGGGTTAAGGCTCACCTTCGTGAATGATGGTGGCATCAGTGATCGACACAGTAACAAAGCGGAACACATGGCGATCCACTGGCCGCACACCACCACACCGCGAAAAAGGCGAGCACGCTACGTCGCCGATACCGTGGCCGCCGAGGAGGGACCTGATACCTCAGCGCCCTCCGCGGCGGCGCGGAACTAATTACTCCTGGTTCGAGGCTAGCTCTGAACACAATCTCATAGCTCGTTCCCCGCAGGAAGAGCGGCCAGAGTAATCACCTAAATGTGTTTCTTCCACCGTGGTTCTGGATCACTGAGTTTGTTCTAAAGGTATTTTAAGTGACTGTAAAATATTGGCATTGGTGTCTTAGCTAAACCATTGTCTGCCATTAGGTGCTGCTAAAACAGCAACTTCTGAGGTTCTGTTAATGTGGTTTGTAGAGTTTCAGGATTTCAACGAACAGAAAACGTTTGGGGCCCCTGTATGGAAGCACTAGACGATTCCTCCAAAATGCGCAGTTCGATCAAGTGATTTAATAAAGAAGCCGGTGAAATGTCGAAGTGATCATAACTGCAAATTCTATGGACATATGATCGTTTCAAAGTCTCAGGGTGTCCAATTTCAGAACGATCTTCATGTTGTTAACCCTACTTGAACCTGGAAAAGGACGACTTGGGTATCCTGAAACGTGCAACCAGGGCTAAAGTAAATTGTAGGAATTGAGAGTGTAGAGTACTGTAAATACGTCTGCGTCAGTCAGTACGAACATGATGAGTGAGTGTGCCAAGAAAACGCCAACTTTAATATAGAGTACCGGAGAGTCTTTGAAGTTTTGAAGCCTCTTTCTGCGTCCGATTCGGCGAGGGCTGATTGGTAAAACTAGGTGACGTCCCGGTTATTTACAATGCAGACGTTCAAACACTACCGATTAGACATCTGGAGCGGTTCATCAGGTTGTCGTGTTATCCGATTAAAAACGACTCATCGGCGATGTGTGAACTTGTGTATACAACAGAAAAAATATTTTGTTTAAAAATTCTGTTGTGATTAGCTTGAAGGAGTTTATAGTCCACCCAACCGTAATGTGAAGATTTCTTCAATTGCTGACAAACAACATCTGGTATTTCCTCTCACACCGCCAGTATCTTTGATAATGATACGATTTCGCGGTCAAAATATATTAGGCCTAATTATACGTTTCTTTCAAAGGACAATGGCTGATGTGGCGTTGTCTGACACCAAAGGTTCAAATAAAGACTGCGAGAAAAAAAGTGAAAGGCGATTACAAACCTCTCTATTGCGTAAGTAGAGCGGAGTTTGAGGAGGTGGAGGGGAAGGTACGGAGGGGAGTGTATGCACATCCGTAACCTTCTTTCGTCTTCCTTAACCCGCTAAACTTAGCGGGGAAAATTTCAAGTAAAAGTTTAAAGGGGTTACGTTTCCCCGCTAAATTGAGCGGGGAAATTGACGTCACGTGACCTCACCACCAATTCACTTTCTTCTCTATATTTAGCAGGGAAAATGACGTCGCATGACTTCGTGTCAAGTCATCCATGAACAAATTCACTTTTTCCGCTGAAACTGACGTCACGTAGCCTCAACATTAATTTTATTTACCTCAATGTTGCGGGGCGGTTACCCCGACGGCGACTCCGACGCCGAGAAACGCGGAAACGGGCGCCTAAGAGCTGCGCTCTAAAACAAAGAGGGCAATGTGCGCATGGAAGGATTAACTTCACGATTGCTTGTACAGTGCCAGAATGTTTAAGAACGCATTATACTGACTCACTAGAGACGAAGACTTTACCAGCTTGCAGGAGTGGTAAGGTACCGCTGAAGTTACCTGGAATAAATGGCGTATGATGCAATACAATTTCCCACGGCGGTCATATAAACTTTGTTTCTTCTTTAAAAAGCGAGATTTGTGTTTTGGATATATGATACAGTGCCAGCATCAAATTTTCTTTCCTAACTTGCATATCGCGAAATAAATATTAAAACACCCCGCCAACAGCTATATAATCTGTTCTGATAAAGACGTAACAGGTCAGTCATACCTGGGTGTTTCCACGTCAGTTCATGTAAACATGGTTCGGGTCTTTTTTGTGCGTAAAGCTTATACGCTAAACCGTTGTTCTTTGGACAAACATTCAGATATATGTAAACGCCGTAGTCAATTTTCTTCCTGGGATATAGAATTTCGAAGCTTGAGGACGTCAATTTTACACCGAAGAATACGCATAGTAATATTTGTATCTATTTATGTTATGAAATGTTTAAAACGTGTACATACAATATTACATTTAAAAGAAAAAAAATTATGCAAGAAAAATTGTGAAACACATCAAATAAACACGTTTTAAAGACACATTAACAAATGATTCGCCCACAAGCTACTTAATGTAAAAGGGCAAAAAATAGGTCAAATGGGGATTTGTTAATTAATTTTTCGAAAATACAATAAATATGCTTAGTCATTATTGTAGCTTTGTTATTTATGCAGAAGCGCAAATGATTTATCTAAATGTCGAGAAATTGCACGTCAATATAAAAAATATCTCTTTCTTTCAAACTTCCCTTAAAGGCTGACCAGCAGCCAGAAAAGAGAAAACTCTTTCTTAAAGGGACACTGACAGGGAATTTATGATCGCCGAGGTTTTTAGTTGTACGTTACATGTGAGAGCCCAACTACCCAGAACAGAATCTGCGGCTCGAAATCCGGCTTCTTTCCGCCCGAAAACCGCCGA